TCGCCATCGCCTAAAAGTTATGAAGAGAAAAATAAATAATCCTCTCCTCCTGGCTGTTCGCGTGTGAATGCTGGTCACCAGGCTGGGCAAGTCTCAAAAGCTGCCAGTACAAGGGCGATAACCCCATCTATATTCTCCCCAACTCGAAACTCTCCTACCGTGAGCCCCCCTCTTGTTCCAAATAATGACATTTGCCTGACGGCAGTTCCTCCCAGAAAAGCAATATTTGTGTCAAGACTGGCACCTGAAACATCGGTGGATAACATAAAAGGTTATCTGGCGACAAAAGTCCCATCAGTTAACTTAAAGCGCGTTAACATCTTCAAAATAGCTCCTTCTCAATCTAGGGCAATCTCCTCTTTTAAAATATTAGTTCCGACTGAAAACAGTGATATGTTGTTAAACAAACCGCGTGATCGACCCCGTAATACCAAGGCAATAGTCTTGTCGCCTTCAGAAAACTAAATGTTTCTGCAGGCCCATTATCCCTGATTTATCAAAATGTTAGGGGCCTAAATTCAAAAACTCGTTCTACTCTTCTAAATTCAACGAGCACGGAGTTTTTCTGTTTGGCCTTCACTGAAACTTGGCTGAAACCCGATCTTCATTCGTCGGAACTTTTTCATAATTATTTCCAAGTCTTTAGAAATGATCGAGTGAATCGCATTGGTGGTGGCGTATTAATTGCCATATCTGCGTCAGTCCCGTCTAATTTAATTGAATTTCCCACTTCTCCTGTCGTTGAATTTATCGCTATTTGTGCGAATATGCCTGATAAACATCTATTTGTAACCTGCTCCTATATTCCCCCAAATTCTGATATCTCCATTTACAAGAAACACGCTGTCCTCATTTGTGAAGTGGCCAAGCTATCTAGACCCACCGATTTGGTCGTTGCATTGGGTGACTTCAACTTGCCTCAAGTCACTTGGTTTTACAGTGATAATTCTGGCTGATTGATTCCTACTTCAACGTCTGATAGGGCTGTTGTGTGCTTTAGTGAATTGTTTGATCATAATTTAAGTCAATATAATCGTACCCCTAATTGTAATGGTAGACTGCTTGATCTCTGCTTTGCCAATTTTCCCGAGATTAACGTAAATCGTTGTCCACCTTTTAGTTTACCTGAGGATCCTAATCATCCATCAGTATGCATTTCCTTTCATCTTATGAATGATGGTTCGTTGAAATGCCTTAATGTGCCAAATCAAACTTTTTTAAATAAATATTATGATTTTCATAAAATCAATATTGTATTGCTAAAACATCGTCTTTCACATTTGACGCTTGATTTCTCAACCGGGAGTGTTGAAAGCTTATTGCCATCGTTCTACAATACATTAAATCTAGCTATTGCTGCATCTGTTCCGATCAAGCAGTGTCGATCTCGAAGCAGGTGTCACCCGTGGTTTAATAAGACAATTAAATATCACAAGAATAGAAAAAACTCACTATTCAAAGAATATTCGAAAAGTGGCTCTGCGCTCGACTATTTCGCTTACTCGGTGGCGAGGCATAGATTTAACTCCCTCAACCATCATTATTACTGCAGATACCTTCAGTTCATTAAATCCTGTCTGTTTGCTAATCCTAAATTCTTCTTCAAATTTGTTAACTCTAAAAGAAAAGTTTCCACATATCCCTCTCATGTTTCTTTTAATGGCTCTGATTCCTTGGATGATTTTGAAATCTCAACTCTATTTGCTGAATATTTCCGACGAAACTTTTCGATTGCTAATTTCGATTTATCAGCAAACTACCCATATCCTATAACTAACTCGGTTTCAATACCTAACTTGGTTATTTCGGAAGATGATGTTTTCAAAGGGTTGAGTTCTCTAAAATGCAGTTGTTCGCCTGGACCTGATGGAATTCCATCATGTGTACTTAAATCTTGAGCTGTCGAGTTATGTGGTGTGATCTCAAAGATTTTTAACATGTCCTTGTATTTAGGTGTTTTCCCTTCATGTTGGAAGAGTAGTTTCCTTATTCCTATCCACAAAAGTGGAAGCAGACAATTTGTTGAGAACTACAGAGGCATAGCCAAGTTAAATGTCTTGCCCAAGTTGTTCGATCGTACTGTGACTCAGCATTTGGCCTTTGCCATTAATTCGTATATTTCTCCGCACCAGCACGGCTTTCGGATGTTATTTACACTGATTTAAGCAAAGAATTTGATATGGTTAACCATAGATTACTTATTTTTAAAATCCAAGCCTCTGGTTTCCCACCCTACTTAGTGAAATGGACAAGCTCTTATCTGCACAATAGATCCTTCAGGGTTTTGTTTAACTTCATCACCTCGGATGAATTCCCCGTTACGTCTGGCGTACCTCAAGGAAGTCACTTAGGTCCCATTTTATTTAGTTTATACATTAACGATCTCCCATCGGTGGTTAATTCCAGCCAGATCTTAATGTATGCTGATGATGTGAAACTATTTTCTTCCTTCCTTGTTGAATCGCAATCACATCAGCTTCAAGGTGATTTGGATAATTTTGTTGCATGATGGTCTTTGAATCTGCTGAAACTAAATCTGAGTAAATGTAAGAAGCTTTCAATCTCAAGAAAAAAGTCATTCATTACTCAGTATTTCATAGATTCGCATAGGTTGGAGGAGGTCGATTCGTTCACAGATTTAGACGTTCTATTTGACCATAGGTTACGTTTTAACTTGCATATTGAGCTCTCGAGTAGCAAAGCTAGGTCCGCGCTTGGGTTTATAAAAGGTGGTCCAAAGAGCTTGATGATCCCTACATTACGAAAAGGCTGTACATGTGTTTGGTTAGACCCATACTCGAGTATGCCTCAGTTGTGTGGTCTCCTTCATAAAGGTGCTACGTAGATTCAATTGAATCTGTTCAAAAGCAGTTCTTGCTGTTTGCCCTTAGAAATTTGGGTTGGGATCCGATTGCCTCTCTTCCTCCGTATGAAAATAGGTTGCTTCTGCTGTCCCTACCGTCTCTTGAGAAACGTAGGTTTGTTCTTGGCGTTTCCTTTCTAATTAAAGTAATAAATGGTGCTATTGACTCGCCTTCATTACTTGGTGAAATAAGCTTTAATGTCCCTAACCGCTTCTTTAGGCACTTTATCTTGGTTAAGCTTAATCAGTGTAAATTTAATTATAAGCTGTTCAATCCCCTCAGAGTCGTTTGCAAGAACCTTAATGACGTCTACCACTTATTCTCGTTATCGGACTCTTTAAAGTCCATTAAAGCAACATTGCTTAATACGCGCGATTTACCTATGTCGTATGTAAACTAGCTTTTATCCTTAAAAAGTCGTTACGTTTCGAAAATGAATTATTGACAATTTATTATCGGTTGCCAGGCTGATGCATGTTTGCGATGGTTTAGGGGTTCATTTGCAATTTGGTCCTGTTCCGGTTGTAAGTGTGCTCCTATGCTGATAGTGTACATGCTTTTTTTCTTTTTCTTTTCTTCTTATTTGTTTTATTATGCTTATACTCAATTTTATTGTTAATTAATATAAGTTTTGCATTAAGAGCCAATTGAACTCGACTGTTATTTGTTTAGTTGAGTTTCTAGTATAAGTGGAATAAATAAAATAAATAAATAAAAAATAAATAAATAAAGGAATCAATATTATGATGCTTATCCTATGTTCATCTGCGTAAAATACATGTCGGAAGTTTCGTTTCAAGAAGCTATTGGTATGTGGAGCAATAATTGTAGTTGGCCAGATGATTTTAGGAGCGATTAACATATTTTGAAAGAGTATTATTATTTTCAGGGCAGGACTTTAATAAATGCTCCAGCCTACATTAAACACATCATACATACATCAGCTCTGTGTAAAATATTGACACCGATGACATTGAGGAATGTCTCTGGTTTTTAAAGAAAATTTCGGGTTGTATATTTTTTTTTATTGCCGGCATTTTGTTTCAGATCGTAATAAAACATTGGTGATCTGTTGCAGCACCAGCTTTTCAATAACAAGCAACAATTGTAGTAGAGCTTTGTGGTTTTTTTAATATCTCTCTTTCTGCTATTTTTTTCTTAATTTAGGATGTATGGAATTGAGCATTACTACTAACTTCCTGTACGAATCGAAAGTAGCAATAGGGAGCACATATTTTTCACTTTAAGCAAAAACTTAATGGCCAGGTACTGGTAATGAGCAGAGACTACTGTATTGCATATATGGGTCCTGTGCTACAAGGTAGAAACTTCGGAAAGAATTTGTGTAACGTTAATATAGTTAATTTAGAAATATTAAAACTCTATAATTGCAATCACACCATAAATCCGAAGGGAGTTTCTTCATTGGGATACATACAGACTCTTTGAAGCATTCATTTAGTTTCAAACTTTTATTTAAAACTGCGCATATCAAAAGTAAATGAGAGAATACTGCCTTGAAACTGAAAACTACTAAAGGAAAGGTTGAGGAAGTTGCTTTGTAAAATTGTCGAAATGTGATAATACATGAAGAGACAACAACAACAACTAATATGAATTGTACATGTTAAACCGTCGTAAAAGTTTTCTAAAAACAAAGTGTAGTTCCTTTTACATATGCAAATAAGCCCGACAGTACTTTATAACGCTTTCGTAAATAATAAACTCGTCAAATTATCGGACGAATTCGGCGAAGGTTACTAGTAGCAAACTGAGTTAAATATCTCTTATCAAATAAATAAACATATATTGGCAGACATTTCCGAAGGAATCGTCTCCTCGTTAATTTTGCATGATATATAGGAGAGCAAACTAGTTTAAAGGGGTGTTCGGATCCAATTTCGGAGTCTTCCATAGAAACCGTATAGAAAGGATTTTTATTTCCAAAACGAGTGAATATCTGTACTAGGCGGAGTGACTTTACCCAACTATAATGTTCTTACTTTGTTTTTTTTTTCTTTTTAGCTGCGAGCTCGACTTCTTTTCAAATTGGATCATATTGTAATCTCAATGTACGTCCCAAACTCTTTTTATTATTTTCCGAGACTAGGTTTTTTAAGTTATGACCCGGTTTACCTGGCATGCATCTTTGCCGCCATCCTCATAACCAGCACAGATCATTCCTTCCGATACGGTATAATTTTCCAGCCATTCTTCGCATAGTTGTCTTCTGATGACGGGAACTTGTACTTCATTCACTATGTGTTCGTACGTAATTTTAGCTGAAAGTAGAATGTTTTGAAGTAAAAACATTAAAGAAAGTAGTATTGAGGAAAAATCTACAAATTTGTGTTTAGAAAAACGGAGATGCGTTCAGTTTACGATTCACTTGCAGGGCTTCATATTCAATTTTGCGAGCAGGAGAGTAACAACAACGCCCTCCACGCTGACACGGACAAACATGGCTTAAGCAATTCAGAATTTCATGCTGATTAAAAATATATATATATAATTTAGAGTCTCTGCAGCTTCTTTCTGGCTGTTGCAAACATTATGACAATGCGGGGATATTCCCCCAGGCCTTTGGTGATGGGTATAAAAAGTAAAAATTTAGCAAGTATTATACGTACGGTCTTTTCGATCTTCACGTTTACCCCAACCGATAACCATACACAACGATTCCGCTTTAAGTTGTTTCATGTTAGTAGGCGGTAAGCAAACGGGCAGTAAATGTTCATGGAAAGCCACACGCGTAGAAAGCTGAGGATATAAATTCAAAGGAGGGATAAATTCCAAATTCATCCGTATATTATTAAGATTCTGCCATTTGAACCATGTACCTGAAATAAGGCGATGTCATTGTCATGTGCCACGCCTACATTATATAAAGGGTGAGGAATGACGGCTTTAACTTTAACTTTTTGACCGGAATAAGTAAAAGAATTACGGCGGGTAACGCCGAGTTGTACAGTCCAATCGTCTAAATCGATAACTGTGTGACTATACTCAGAGAAAAAAAATATATAAACAAATAAATTTTGAAAATTAGTCAAAGTTACTAATTTCCATTACAAGCACCAATCATTTTTGTATGTTAAAGTTTTAACCTACTTGCCAATACAATGGGAAGCTGTTAGAATCCATTGATCTGATATCAGCACACCAGCACAATAAAAAATTCTTTCAGGACCGCCTAAAATAGCAGCCAAAAAAGGCCATGAACCTGGACTAACTTGGATACCACCAACAATACGCGTTGAAGTGTGGTCTTTCACTTTCCTGATTTTCCCGCATTCTAGATGACCCAATAGAGAGATAGATAAATAATAAATTTTCTATGTCGCAAGTTAAGAAAAGTCGAACCATAGTTGGAACAAGTCAGTTCGGCTATAGGATAATCTTCATCTGGCTGACAGCTCGACAGTTGTTGAATTAAGTTTGACCTTTTTTTCGCATACATTTTCCAGACATTATCCGAAATATTAACTGAAGTCAGCAATGGCCTATGCGTCTTTTGAGTGATCACATTGGTAGCATTGACAGAATTGTAACCAAGCATGGAGCAAACTGTCATCGGTGAAATAGCACGATCCCAATTTTTGACACAAGCCGGAGACCATTCGTGTGAACTGATGCGATAGACTTCTAATACGCCTTTACCAAAATCACCATTGCGTTCGCTTAAGCGTACTGAAAAATAATATTAAGAAAATTGTAATAATAATATGTAGCAATATTTTAAAAATGTGAGACTAAGAAACACATGATGTATTTGAAGGATTCTCTTCCAAAGGTTAGTTTTCACTCTTCGTTATAACTTACTACAATTTCTTTCGTCTTGACCATAGGGACAGTCCACTATACCATCACATATATGTTTAGAACTTATACATTTTTCGCGCCCGCAATGGATTTCATCGTGAGAGCATTTCTCACAATTGGCTTCATCCATCTGATCCATACAGTCCAAATGTCCATCACACACATAATCATCAGGTATGCAACGATTGTGATCGCATTGGAACCCTTCGCATTTTGGGTTAGCATAAGCTATCATAATTTCGCGGACTTGTTCGAAACCTACGCAATCTTCGGGGCTTTCGAAGTCTTTAAATAGTTTGCAATTTAGGTACTCAGGAAGACTTAATCCGAAAACGTCAAAGAAAAAACCGCAACGTCTCATAGTTTCAGTGCAGAGGGACTTGCAGGGAGCCACTGTTGACCCCGAGGCACCACATTTCGGCACGAATAAAGTGCATAGGAACAAAGATACCAATTCATAACAATGAACTTCGACTAAAGCTTCGTAAGCATCCAAATCCTATAAAAATGAACACAGTATTACTAAAGACATTTAAAATAGCCATAAAATCGAAGACTAACCACTTGCGTTTCCAACTGTCCAAAATGCCCAATATAGTTTGGAAATACTGTAAAATTATATGGGATATGAGGTCCTTTGCAGAATTTTACTATAATAGGTAAGCAGGTACCAGGAGCAGGATTTTTACCATACTTCAATGAATCCTCAACATGAACAGTATTAATAATTGTTTTATTGATGAACTTGATGGTAGGATAAGCATTAAAATAGGCTGCAAAGCCCCCTGCTATGACCAATAAAGCTAGAGCATTTATTAATATTTGGAATAAACGAAATTTTAAGCGACCGTTGGTAATGTAAGGATTTGAGCTTTTACGATGATTAATGACCTGCAAAAAAAAAAACAATGCGATCATAGAAAACACTTATAAGTTGCTGGTTATCTCAAGCACCTGATGCGGCAACGACATTGTATTTGGAGAACCATTCTGAAAACGTACTATTGTTTGTAAACTAGCCGGTGTTGAAACGCATTTGGTTAGAGGAGATAAGGGTACACTATCTAGCATTTCATCGATAGTTTCGTTTTGAAATTTTTGCTTTACGCTGATGGCATTGGAGACTAATGAAAAAGACTTTCTTAAGATATTGCATCCGTAAAGAGACGAATTTATTTATTTTCAACGTTACCGTTAGTAATGAAAATACATGGTACGTCTTTTACTTTTCTGACGTATATTTTCTACTTTAAGGATTAATAGTATACCGATTACTTTTGCTACTGCGAGCTTGCGGACATTAAAGTAGGAGTAAATATAAAAAACAACATAAAGAAGCGAAAAATTATGTTCGACCGCAGCCGAGTTTTTATACCAGCTTTATCCTAAGATTTGTAAAGAGAAAAAACTAAACTACCGCATCATATAACATGGGATAGACGCAGCAGGTTTTTTAAAATATGTCGCAAAATTTACGTGGAAACTGTTATCATGTGTCTATTGTAATTTATGAATAACTAGCAAAAATCCAGAAACCGAACGCCTTTTTGGCTGGTGTTGCATTATAACCGTGTCCTCTGACCGAGCAGACACATTTTCAATATGCCCAGAAATGTCCCATCTTTTCGTCAATTTTGAAGGCAGTATCTTCATTTCTGCGAAAGGGAGAATGTTTACCACGGACAAAGTAAAGGTAGGCAACAACATATACACTTTACGGGACGCTGACTAGATAAAGCAAACGTTGATTCACTGCAGTCGCATATCGAGCAGGCGTGAACGATTTTATTCACTTTGCGCATGTACTACAGAATCACCCGTATGCAATAAATTTTAATATAATTTTAAAGCCGATAGCTTCATTTTTGTGGCCAGGACAGCGTTGACAGTAATCATTAAACAGACGGAAGGACAGATCAGCTTAAATTAATTCAGAATTTGATGGTTATGAACATATGTGTTTTATGGGAGTCTGCGTGTAAAAACCCTTATTAGTACTAGTTAGGAATTAAGATTATTCGTTTCAGACTGTAGAAACGGAAGAGAGAGGCCCTTTAGGTAGGAAAGTTTTCTAACTAAAAAAACTTAAAAATTTTTTAACCGACAATAAAAGAATTCGTGGAATTCTGCGTTAACTGAAGGACGGTATATTATCTGGATTTGATAGTGACTTTAGAAAATCGTAATTAGTTTATTTATAATTAACGGTAAATTCGAAAACAGAGATTTTCTCGTCTCCTTCGGTATTGGTACATAAGAGTAATTTTCAAGCGAATTTACCTGAGCATAACTGTTTCATGGATGTAGTCGGTAGCAAAGGAGCTTCCAGTAACTTTGTATTATAGCTGGGATTTGAAGTTTGACTAAAACTATCACTTGATATAGTTGAATCTTGTCTGCAATTATGTTTTGGCTTGGGCGGCGTTTGTGAGCTACTGTCAGTTGTAGTTTTCGCTGAGCTACGAGAGGCATTTGCATCCATTCCAAAAGTGGATCTTTCGTAACTGAGTGCATTTTGTAAAAGAGATGAATTTTTCAGATTCTTATCGCGATTTTTGAAACTACAAACGAATAATTCACTGCGTACATTCGAATTATGGGTACGTTGCAGGTTCGTCATTAATTTATTGCGGGTGGTAAGCGATACAGGATTTGTTGCTCTATTTTCAGTAGAATCCATCAACTGAAGAGTTTGGTTTGAGATTCTTACTGGCGGTACTGGGGGTATAGCACGTTTGCTTATTTCCGATTGTGGCAGAGAAATTAATGGTGAATTCCCTGCACCGGAAACAGACATAGAGTTAGATGAATCGGTGGATATGGATGAACCAGCCGAAGTAGTTGAAGAGGTGGAAGCTGAATTGGATACCGTCATTACACTCTTACCTTCAGCATTAGCAATAGCATTACTTAAGACCGTTTTGTCAAAGTTTGTAATTTTTTTTTGTCCGTCATTAAATTGCTTGCGTAATGGTACCGCAGGTGATTGGTTAATGGTTCTGGTCTTGTTATAGATTGTTGAATTGCTGTAGTTGTTATCGTCATCTTGCTGATGACCGCTACCATTTGTATCTAATTATTAAATTTCATAAAATTGCATAAAATTATTAAATTTCAATTCTATTTTAAACATTTCCTTACTTAAAGATAGATCTACCGATAGTTTTTCCGGCGCAGAACTGTCAAAAGAAGACTGAGTATCTACCGAGGAAAATCTACTACGAAAATCCGGATTGGTAGAAGTGGAAGTTAGACGTTCATTATGAGACATATAGCCAGAGGAGTCTATCGTACTAGAAGAAGACAGATTTGAACGCTTTGAGATAAAATTAAATTCTGCACTCCCGCTAATGGCCGAAAAGCTTTTTATTGCCACAGTACTACTGCATAGTTTGCCGCTGGTGAACCTAACTGGTGTTGTGTTAAGAGATTCTTCAAAGACTGAATTTTCCAAGCTCATACGATCATCATCTGATATGGCTCCAGCATCGTTTGCAGCAATCGCGGCCGTTAGTAGAGTGCGGGAACTTAATCGTGGCAATAGCGAAATCGGTGCGACACGCATCTGATCTTTACTTATTTGTCCATCGTTCGAAGTATAAGTTGCGCAAAAATCATTATCAGATAAAGGTTTCACATGCATCTTTTGCGAATCTTGGGTTTGTGGTGAAAGTTGCGCTTGAATTTGAAGTGGTTGCTGTTGGGAATAAGAGAAACTCATTCCGATTGTCGGTTGTTGTTTACGTTCAGCTAATATTTGCTTTGTGGTCGCGGAAGTTAATTCTGCGGATGTCGTCACCACATTTTTTAGGTTATTGAGAGTAAACTTTCCGTGAAATGTACGCTTGGGTACTGGAGGTGGTGGTAGCGATAAACTTGGCTTTTGTATTTTGCCTGTCACACAAATGTCGGCTATTATTGCTGATTTTGTTGAGTTTTTTATATTGTCGGCGTGCTGACATTTCCAGTTTAAAAGACTCACCTGAAAGTTTTTTTAAACCACCGTAAAACACAGAAATAAATAAGAATAGAAGAAAAACATATTTGCAAAGGTGAGCAACGAATGTATAGTTCACTGTTCTTCGCATTCAGTTGTGAATGCTTATAATTTGAATTCATATTATTTATACGCGTAAACGTGTGCTAGAGGGATTAATGAATTCTTTTCTCACACTTTAAAATACTTATTTGGATTTATTAGTTATCGCCATTTATAAGAGCGTAGAACGTACGTTAAAATGATGAGACGATTTTCTTTTCTGTGAGACGATGTGTATGCAATATATTTGAGATCGTGGCCTTATGATTATATAGCGGAGCTTGGACATTCGGAAGTTAGAAAGGAAAGAAAAATAGAAAATTTCGCTTGTTGTTGCCCTATGATAGGACACTATTGATTGAAATGACGTGCTTAAATAATCTAATTGAAGTACTAACACTTGCCTGATTATTTATTGATATTATATTTCCCGGTTTACTAGGAACAGTTGCTGACGACTGTTTTCTGTGTAGGCCCTTAACATCAGCCACGTCTGTCGGTGCCTTGGCTCTTGAGATACTGCTAAAAGTTTCATGCTGTTTTAAAAGTGGTTTTTGTTGACTTGCATCCTCCAACGTGGGATAACAATGCGATGAATGACGTCGTGTAACTCCCCCATTCGCATTGACGGGCAAAAGAGCCACCGAACTGCACTGCTTTTGCTGATAATCATAAAAATCCAATAGCGAGTCGGGTGGTAAAGCCAGGCTTGAAGCACGTTCAGAACTTTGCATTCGGGATTAAAATTAAAGGTTTAGGTTAAGGAATATTAAACAAATTTGTTACATAATTTGGGAGGAAAAATAGGTCGAAACAGCTACATATGAAAAGTTTTTAAAAATTTAAAATGATTCATACTATATAATAATTATTATTTTTTATCGATCTTTGACTCTTATTAAAGAATCTGTACTCGAGCCACAGCCACCGAGATATTTGCTGTCAATTATTCTAGCTTTTCTTCTTTTTTGGCACTATATGCTTAAGGGAAGATCACATTTACGTAGTAATAGAAAATTAATTAGTAAAACATTTCTTAACAATCTCAAAAAATATAGCTAAGGGCCTGAGCCCCAAATAGTTTGAAATTTTTTAGTCATTAGCAGGCATAGTTACTTTTTCAGTTATTTTTCAATATTTATTTCATTTAAAAAAAAAATTGATGTATAACAATTGCATTCTGTGTTTGCCTGCATAACTGAATTAAATGATCCAGCACGCTATCGCGTAGTAGTAATTGTGAAAGTCGAACAAATTCGGCAACATGAAAACGCTTTTTACAGCAGTTTGAAGTTTCGTTGCAGCAAAATATATTTTCTAAGAAATTTCAATTATAAATAAATGGTGATTGATTGAAATTTAGTTTTTCCCACATTTCCAAGCTTTGAAAATGTACTGTCGCCAAAAGTTCCTTGCAGTGTTTTGAATTACTCAAAATACTCACATTGTATTTATTCCAAATTGTGGGTGCGCAGGATTCTTTTCAGAGGAAATTTTACGCTGATCCACTTACCGTTGTTTTCGTTGGTCTTGATGAGGGTGGGAAGTCTGAGGAGGAATTTTGCACCGCTGCTGTCGTTGTTGTTGCTGATGATTATGGCATACCATTAGATCTTTATTAATCTTTAGCAATTGTGTATCCGCTATTGATAAGGTGGCCATGTTTATAAAAATCGTCATTACATTGTTTATGAGAGTATTTGTATATTCTAAAATGCAGAACAAAGCAATTGTAAAAATTATAATCACTTTGGTATAAATCTTTGCTAACTATCAACCGAGATCAACATACAACAATTACAAAGTGTATACAATCCGTATCATTTATTCAGTCAATATCATATTCATACTCCACTTTTGGATGGCCCTAAGTTTTAGGTCAATATTGCCTGTTGGCTGTTAATCTGTGTTGACACTCTTTCTGTCAATTTTCCTAATCGGGTCTCATGTGATCTTCGTAAATGTTTGTACCAGACTACGAAAAAATTATAAACATAACTTGTAAATATTAGTTTCTTGAATGTTTTACGATTAGTTCTTGGTGAATTGTGTTTATTTTGAATTTATTTGTGGTCATCGATTAAAAAATGCGATCATTTCTGTAATCGTTGTAACCAGATAGGGCGTCATCCGTACATTTAAACGGCAATTTATCAATTAAAGTGAACTTCTTTATTTCTTTCCGTTAAAGGGTTACAAAATATACAAAAGCACAAAGAAAATTTCTCAAGAGTTTAGAAATGTGATTTTTTGGGATTTTTTGTAAAAATGTGAAATAAAGTAACTCATTTTAATTGATAAATTATTATTTATATGTACGAAAGCACAACAAATAAGTGCCGTTTACTACAGATGTTTTTTTTTCGAATCTCTTAGCGATATATTTTCGCTGTATGTAAATTTTTTTTGGGATTAAAGTATATTTTTTGCTTTTATTTTTGCCAAAAGAAAATCTTGGAGTGTTATTTAATGTAAGTTTTTTTTGTGTGTTAAGATATACATTTTTTAACCCATAAATACTAATACTAATTTAATAAGAAAAGCCTAAATTTTTGGTGCTGTATGTAAACTTTTTTGGCTTATGGTGTATATTTTACTGTGGCTGTGGGCTCCGATTTTTTTGTTGTCTGCTCCTAAAGTACAAAACTAGTACGGGGTTACACAGTGGTAAAAAACGGCTTCTTTAAAAATGCGCAAACTTTTAATATAAAAAATATGTACAGTGAGTCTCATTACTATCAGGTTTTTTCGCTCGACAAAAGGTAAACGCTTGTTAAACCTAGTCCATTGTCCAAACAAAAATTGTTTTTACTATTTTGTACTTTTAGGGAATACATATTCAAGTATAAAAAAAAAAAAAAACAAAACATTATTCCAGTAGACAAAAAAATTAAATAACTTCAGCAATTTCAAAAACATAGTGTCACTAATATCGGGTTCTTTTTATAAAAGCAACGATATAAAGAAAAAAAAAGCAGCATATTACTACAAATTAATATTTGGAGGGGTTATTTTTTTTGCTTAATAACGTCATTTACACATTTTGACACATTTCGTATAATTTTTCATTTGCAGTGATCTTACTCTATTCCTCTTATAATCTGTTTTTCAGGTCTTGGACGGAAGTGATTGAGTGTTTTCGTATATGTTCATCTCACATAGTTTTGATGGGGTTCATGCCTGGTGATATGTGGACAAGGGTGAATTAAGCGGGATTTGTGCTTGAGGTCGTTGGCTTGGTAAAATTTGAATGTTTCCAAAACACAAATTTGTCCGCTCTTTCTTTTATATCCTTAAAAAACCTTCCTCCCATCCATAAAACCAATTTTCCGACTCCATTGGCCCAATGCATGTCAGACTATTGCCACGTTCACCGTAACCTGTTGGTGCAACAACGTAACAACAATCAGCTAAAACATATCATACAGAGTAGTCTTCTTTGTAAAAAGCCCTGAACAGAAAAAGCGACACAAACGGCAAAAAAAGACATTAATAAGCCAGCGATCAATCATTTCATCAATTTTCCTTTTATGAACATACACTATTTTTATTTCCATATTTATTAATTATATACGTGTCAGTTTCTTACTTTCTAAGAAAATAATCGCTGCCACCTATCACAATTGTACTCATCCAGGTGTAAGGCATCAAAAGAACAATAAGAGTAAATTTCATTAATTGAAGTTTCGTATATCTTTTATTAACTATATAAGAAACTACGCAAATAAATACATTGCATTCGGCAAGTCCAATCCTTAAATACCATATACCACTGCGCCTTAGCGTCTTTGTGATAGCAAATCATAAATATCAAATTACTGTTGAGGACCGATTTTGATCACAAAACAATTAAACTCGGACCTTTTCTTACAAAAGGAGAAGCCTTATATATCTGCATTTATTTAATATACGCCGTGGTGTAAGATATAAAAGCACAATGTGAACGTTAACTAAAATTTTATAGGCCTCCTTCTTTTTTTTAAAGTCAGTTATAATACGCCTCTATTTGGTAATGAGTTTGGAAATTCGGTCATTGTTAATGCGTTGATGCTGCTGACTGCGATTTTGGAAGTTTCAATACAGATTTCCATTCACATTTGCTGATTTGATTATGATCATATAGTGATAAACATGATCATTTCAAGAAAAACACTGTACGAATGAAAATTCCGAAGTCCGAAAATTCAATTAGGAAACTGAAAAATGCAGTGAATCAAAGCAAACAAACCTGCACATTTCAATTGGTTCAACACCACTGCTAGATCAAAGTCTTAAACCCAGTTTGTTGCATTATTCTCCAAATTTCGTAGCGGACAACGACTTTGTAGCGACATTTGTCACCATTTCATTTGTTCTATCATATTGGGTTTTAATTTTGTCACGGTTAACCATGTTTAGAACGAAACGATATTTTATATCAATATGTTTGGGTCTTGCGTGATACACGTTGTTGTGAATTAGGTTAATAGCACTTTTCTTGTCTGAATAAAAAATCCATGGTTCATCTTCAAAGAAATATCTGGGAATATTTGGAAAATTTTTATATTGTGCGTTTTCTCAATGCCACTTGCAAACATTGTAACATCATCTATATATGTCGCCACATTCATCACGATATCTTGCAATCTGTAATATATGCAGGGGTCGGATTTTTAAGTTTCGTTAAAGTATTGTACGATATTTGATTCCAGTTTGCCTCAATCTATACAGAGACTTTTTAAATTTGCAGGCGTCACCTTAATGACAGTCGAAAACTAGGAAATTTAATTAATCATACTTGTTCTCTCTTAGAACACTTTGTAAAAATGCTGTTGAAACATCGATCTGATGTATCTTACAGCTAATGCCATTAGGAATCGTTTGAACAGTGCCGTACTACTTGTGAAAGCCTTTCTCTGCAGTCAATTTCTTTTTTCTGAGAAGATCTTTATGTGAGAAGCCTTGCTTTTAGGCCTCGCAACTTTTCTCAAGTTTCAAACACCATTTATTCGCTGTTCTTCTATTTCTTCTCCCTAGGTAGTTTACACATACCTTCATCTGTTGCATTTTATCTGTAAGTGCTGTTGTTAGCTTAATTTTTTGTATTGACATGAGAAAATCTTTTTTATTCCAGTTGAAACTCTTTCCTCGCCTTAGGGGTCAAAAAGCAGAGACGCTTTGGAACTTTCAGAGCTCCCATGATATTTTCTTTCGGCGCTCCATTCTTGTATGGTTTCGTTTTGGAGTTTCAACCGAAATCTTTGAGATGTTCAACAGATGATTTAAGTCTGCAATAAACTTCTTCATTAAGACTTTTATTCATTCTTTCAGCTTTCTTTGAAATTTAGTAATTGTTTTCCCTTTGGTTTAAGGAAATATGTGTTTTTCTGTTGCAGTCGTCTACGACGAATCGCAAGTATTGACTTCCATTAAATAAAGCTTCTTCTATAAAGCCAGCGATATTCTAGTATATTTTTCGCTTTGTTAGCAATGGCTTTAGACGACAGACGGGCTGTTTTTCTTTCAGGCCGATTGTGCAGGAATCACTTGAATTGCCAATCATCTTTATGCCATGCAATTTTTCGTGAAATTGCCTGACCTCGCATTATATATGTTATAATATAAATATTATATATATTAATTAAGTATTGATATTTTATTGTCATCGTTCTACAATATTTTAAATCCCGCTATTTCTGCATCCGTTTCCACCAAGCAGTCCCGTCCTCGAAGCAGGTGTCCCTCGTGGTATAATAAACCAACTAAGTGTTACAAGAATAGAAAAAACAAACTTTTCAAAAAATTTTCGAAAAGTGGCTCTGCTTTCGACCATTTCGCTTACTCAGCGGCAAGATAGATTTAACTGCCTCAAACACCAATATTATTGCAAATATCTCCAGTTTATTAAATACTTTCTGTTTGCTAATCCTAAATACTTTTTTAAATTTGTTAACTCCAAAAAACAAAACCCCATAAATTCCTCGCATGTTTCTTTCAATGGCTCTGAGCCCTCGGATGATATCGAAAATTCAAATCTTTTTGCTGAATACGAAACTTTTCGACTGCTAATTCCCATTTATCAGCAAATATCCGATAACTAATTTGGTTTCAATTCCCAATTTAGTTATTTCTAATAATGACGTTGTAAGGGTGTTTATTTATAGATGGGGTTTCCGCTCAGGGTTGTCCAGCAGTCCGTTCCAAGAAATTTATTCGTTGAATTAATGGAACCTTTTTTTTGTGTTAGATCAAATATATATATTTGGAATCCAAGAAGCGTACACGATGACCTTGTTTGCGACGTAAATTCGTGGCGAAAGAAAAATCCAACGCACGTTGAGTGGCCAGCCTTGCTTTCTCTTTACCGAGGAAATATAATTCGTGTGCGACTGTGTTGCGAAAACGAAACTGTTACGTGTATGCTCTGTTCATGAATCTTTTTTAGTGGTTCAGCAGGCAGTCTACCGGGTCCCTAAAGGTGTACTTTCGGACCGGGAGTCTGTGAGATAATAATGCAAGTGTACACTGTTATCTCAAGTACCACGTTGCGAAAGTGACGAACTACTAGTTTCTGTAAGGTGGGGGTATCCTTTCGGGCCGAGAGTCTATGAGATAATGATTCGAGGGCACAATATTATCTTAAGGACCCCGTTCCGGACGGACAGGACGATAACTATTACTGCTTTGACTTACCCGTTCGTTCAAATGCTCTGAACAACTAAAGGAAAGA